ACGGCTTGACAATAATACGGATACGAAAGTTTTAAACGGATAAAGTACGTACGAGTACATATACGTGTGTATTAAACGAAGTATTTACTAACTATGATTTTGCTTACTCAAACGTTGATCCGATTTAGTTCTTATATTAAGAAAACTGATAAAGACTCTTTGAGCCTAAATTAAGTGAATAAGAAAATATTTAAAATTTAAAAAACTTAACTCATCAGTTCATTCCAAAATTTATACGACACACAAATAATGAAATTTTTTAACTGAATAGGAATACAAAATAAAAAAGGTATTACCTTGCAATTGCATTCCTGCTATACCCACCGTAACTTTAAAATAAAGTAGTTGATAATGACAATAGTGAATAAAGGCGGGATACATAATCCTACGCAACAACTAACTCTCACCTGACTACTATATAATTCATGGATCAGAGATACCCAACTGCTCCCTCTCAACACATCATGTCCTTCCCAATTGATTATATGAGCTTATGAATTATTTCGTGTATTATTTCTTTCATGAGGACTGCAATTGTCACTGCTCTTTCACTTTCACTCACAAGTCCTTATTCAAACGTCGTTCATGTTTTACTAAATTTAGCTTCTTTTTTTACTCACTATCCAATTGCCATTGCCTCCGTACTAATATGTTATTATGTATTGGTAGTAGAAAATTAATATTTTCAGTTTACATGTATTCATGATTGTGGGAGGATTAAATTGTATTTAAGTGTTAAAATTCTTCAATCTTTGCTTTTATATTTATTTTCTAAATTTTACCCACAATATAATATTCATTTTTATACATGTCAATATTCTAATTTTAGAAAGAGCTAATTTGTGTTTTTTAATCACACGCTCAGGCATCACGATTGAGCTTATTACATATTTTGTGAGTTAATCTGATATATGTTGTGAAACAAAAAAAAATTGTTTGACTGTTATTTTAATTGGAGGTTAGTGAATAAGCAATCTAACCTGATATCTGATCTCACAACTTAAAAGAGGAACTAGATTCTTCAATGTCAGGTTTCGAGGAAGTGGATGTCAATCAATCTCAAGACATATATTATTCATTGCCTCGATATATTGACTCATAGTGTAAACTAACTAACAACAACAACAACAATGCAAATTCAAATCTATGATTCAAATTTGGAAAATTTATTAATATTCCTACTTTTTTCTTCATGATAATGATATTAGGGTGCAAATTCCCAAAGGAAAAATCAAGTACTTTCGGCCCCCATTTCATGACTAGAGAGTTTACACTATCAAGACTTTATGGCCAGTATGAGTAGGGAGATTATAGGCTATATTCTAAACAAATTGGTCATGAAATGATATTCCAGTCTACCAGCTTTTAAGCTTTATTTCATCTAAGAAGATGAGATTGATAAGAAGTGCAACCAAAGAAAATTTCTTTCAGGTTCGAATTACTACTCTCAGTTCAACTTTACTTCAATATGATGTGTATAAACCCAAAAACATTAATTAACTTTTTAAAATTTCATTGCACAGATGTTGTTAACCAGCTTATTCATTATTCGCGTTTATTGACATCTAACACTCACTAGAGAATTGCTTGCACGAAGACTCCGACAAAAACTTCTCGAGTATGCAAATAGAATACATTACTTTGACTCTAATCGCAAATCTAATATACAATTTGGTTGAAGGGGATTGATTTTCAAGTTAACTTTCTTTGGTAGGCTGGTTACTCAATTAAATGTTATCCTTGCAAATGCGGGTAACCGCCCTCTCATCCCGGTCATTACATCATTATATGTCGTCATTACAATGGTAATGAAATATCTTAATAACTTTATCATGATTAATCCAGCAATTTACAAATAAATTAATAAAATTTATTTAAACGATCGTCAAATTTGAAAACGAGATAACCTTCTTCTCATCTCGAGTGACTTTGCTCTTGGCGAATCCAAGAATTCCAGAAGTTATTAATTTTGGGCCAAGGTGAAATTCATGACAATTTAATTACCATATTTAATTCCGCGTTATAAGTTTGAAGTTTCAAATAGAAAAAGGGATTAATTATCACTCATTATTTGGTAAATAAGTGACTGAGGTGGACCAATTCTTCTGAGTGAAAAGTACGAAAGCACCTCATCAACTAATTTCAACTCAAACACCGCAAAAGCTAAATCAATTAAAAATTAAGGATGGAGAAGAGGTAAGTATCAATTTTGATTTAATGACCTATTAACTATCAAATGCTAACATTTTATGTAATATGTAGGAAAATATGTATTCCGTCAAATACAAAGTTTTCAAAGTTAATATGGGTGGTGCTATGCTGGATTTGAAAACCTGTCTGTAAAAGTATTAGTTTCTATTGTTGTTTATGTCATTAATAACATTATACTTATTCAAGATCCACCTTCGAGTTCTGAACAAAACCACTGAGGCTAACTTTGTTGTTATGGATTGAGTGAGATATGGAATATTTAGAATGTCGGCTAAAAGGCTATTCCAAAACGACGGTATACTGATAGGATTACCACCTGCTCATCTCTTACAAATTGAGGTAATGATATTGAAGTTTGAAATTAAGCTCACATATTACATCGTTAATCCAACAAGTGAGTACATGATTTTCAGGATAGGAAAGGATGAGAAGAGCATAAATCAGATGATCTTCCTGACTTGATTGAGGTAAATTATACTTGCATGAAAATGATGATCAATATTAATTATTAAATTGTAATATTCTCCATTAAATTTGGAGTATATTTGGAACATGCACCTTCTGGTTATTATTTAACTAACCTTCATACCATGTCTACTTCTCACATGTTGATTTTACAATGCAATTACTTGCGTCTATAATCTCCTAAAAATTAACTGCTATAAACGGTATACAACGTGTAAATTATACATAGTTATATAACAAGTATATAGTTCTTCAATTATTATACCATGCATGGATGATACTCAATTATATTATTTTAACTTTAGCCAATTCAATTTGTATAATTTAAAACTCTAGAGGAACTTTCTTTTATTACCCACTAGCATGCATGCAATTATATACTGGTTGTATTGTCAAGTATATACGCCTTCAATTTCTATACCATGCACAAATATATGCTTTCAATTTTTAAACCATATACAAATGACACTTAGTTGTATTCTTTAATGTATATGCAAATGCATGTCATTTATAACATAATACTCCAGTGGAACTTTGTTTCCTCTCGCACTAACATGCAAGCAATTGTATCCAACTACAATTTTAACTCAAATATATTAAACCCCTATGATTCTAGACAATTACAACATATATTGTGCTTTTGAATGTCAATTATCTTAATTCATAATGCTAATGCAAGAAAACAGGAATGACACTGTTAATGATGGATGTGTTGGATCGGTGCTAGAGATGACGATCTTGAGAAGAAGAAATACATTTTTCATGAGGAAGATACAAGTACCAGTGATGAGGAGAAAGAACAATTTTTTAGGTATTGTTCATAATTTGGATGAGATAAATTCTACTCCAATGAAAAAGAAAATTGGTATTTGTAAATATTTTACCATTAAATTTTTGTGCTTAGTAAAATGCATGAAAACAAGGAAGAAATTACTAAAATGCAAGAGAAGAAGGTAGAGAAAATTGACAGCGGAGATAAATGTATCGCTAATGGAGATGACATTATTATTGGTGCAGATGATGATGTTGCTCATGACGGAGGAAGTGCAAATAAGTCAACATGAAAATGTGCAGTAATCTCTCACGAAGAGGAGTAAATAGAAGGGTGATTGACGTAAAGAAAACGAGTTTGCCTTTCATTTCCGTAAAAAGATTTTAGTCAATGAGTGAGTTTCAATGCCGAAAACACTATGATATTGATCATTTTGAATTGTTGAACTACTTTAATAATTTGGGTTCTCTTATTCTACCAATCAATTTGAATATTTTAAGTATTTGAATATTATATATTTTTTATACTATCAAAACCCGTGTATCTCATCTACAATTTTATAATATTGTTTATGTGATTGGCGACTGAATCCGGCCAACTGGCCGGGCCCGCGACTAGTCTTGGAAAAAAGAGGGGCGGATGATTTTTCATCTCCCTTTTAGTTTTAGTTTTTTTTTATGTAATTAATTATTATAATAAGAAGAAAATATTTCCACCTGTCATAGTTTTTATGAAACCTGCCACGTCAACAAAAAAGCTAGTCCAATAAGCATTTATTATTGTTTCGTTAAAGTTATTGGCAGAATGGCTATATCTATGTATTTTTCAAAATTTGGCTATTATTGTCACAAAGTGCACATTTGTGGCTATGCATGTGTATTAAGCTTATGTAATATCAAACAAATAATGTTTTCTATTGTTTGTACAGAAAAAATAAAAAATAAGATGCATTTTGAACAATATGCGCATTGTAACAATCTCAACTAAAATATCCTTTAGTTTACTATGCTAGGGATTCATTCAACCATGGACTATTTTATGAGGTTTTTGGTCTGCTTTAAGAAATTTAGGGTCGGCTTTGAATTTTTCAGTATACTTTATAAATTTTGTGGTGTAGTAGTGTTCTGATTTGTTTTATAAACTTTCTGGTCTATTTTATATTATTTATGGTGTATTTTGTTGTTTTCAAAATGTATTTTGTGGTATGCTTCATGATACTTATAATGACGGAGGACTCGAAATAAATTAGTGACACCACACATATGTGTCTCCTATAATTTTTAATAATGTCAAAGTCGAAAAATCATCATCAATTGTAGTCAACCTCTTAAAAATAAAAAGTTTATCAAAACCAAATGTTTGACTGAAGGTGATATTAACACCATCTTAAGTCTTAACAAATTAGGAGTTGACACTCTGAAGCTTGTCCGTTTGACTTTTCACACCAGTAATTAGTATTTCAACTTTCTACGCTTTTTTCTTTTTTTGCCCCCTAGTTGATTGAGACAGACAACGAAAGACCGGCCAATCGCGGTTGTTTCCGTTCTAGAATCAAGTCCCTAGCTCGCTCGAGCGTCTACACTCTAGACTAGACCACGAACTTTCGCACTTAACAATGGCCATTTTTGCTTCTTGAATGACAGAGAGCAGTACTTGGACTAGTCGCGGCCAAATTTGCGATAAATCCTTCGTCCTTAGACCAGCACTACCCAAGTTTTCTCCCGCCGCTTACCAAATGGAAACCATCTTGTTCAAGCTCTCTCTTCTAATCCTCAGTTCCCTCTGTCTCAAACTTGTCCGCTGCGATGGAGCGGATCGAATCACTCCAACCCGTTCACTTTCCGGCGACCAAACGATCGTCTCGGCAGGAGGAGTCTTCGAATTGGGTTTCTTCAAGCCTGGGAAATCAGGAAATTACTGCGTAGGGATTTGGTACAAGCAAGTTTCTCCAAGGACGGTAGTTTGGGTAGCAAACAGAAACAGTTACTCCCCTCTTCCCGACAGGTTCTCTGCCGAGCTCAAGATTACCGATTACGGATACCTGGCTCTACACGACGGCTCAAATCGAGAAATTTGGTCCACCGGTATGGTGGACAGGAATTTCCGCTACGCAGAAGCTGTGCTTCTGGATGATGGAAATCTCGTCCTAACGTCAAATGGGTCTTCTCCAATTTCCCCAAATCAATCGCTTTGGCAAAGCTTTGATCACCCTGGAGATACCTGGATCCCCGGTGGCAAGATTGGGTTCAACAAGGTTACGGAGCAAGATATCTCTCTGACCTCGTGGCGAAACAGAGAAGACCCTGCTACAGGCCCCTTCTCACTCAAGCTGGGGCCAAACCGGTCACTCGAGCTCCGGAACATGTACACGGCTTTCCGGGCGAGCGAATCTTTCTCTGGGCGTGTTTCCGGCTCCATTTCGGAGATGAAATTGAAGCTCATGAGCCTTTCTTATGTGGATAATAGGAATGAGAGCTATTTAACCTACTCTCAGTACAACATCTCCCAGCTGGCTCAACTTGTGGAGGAACCTAATGCCTTGATTAAGCAGCTGTACGAGTCCGGGTACAATGGCTCTTTGTTCTCACGGTATGTTGTGGATGTACGTGGGAAGCTTCAGCTGCTCGCCTGGCAGGAATCCACCAAGCAATGGCTATTAGTTTGGTCGCATCCTAGATCCCAATGTCAAGTCGATGGTTATTGTGGTCCGTATGGGAGCTGTATGGGGGAATCCAGTCGTTCCCCCTGTCAATGTTTGACAGGGTTTGTTCCCTTATCTCAGGTTGAGTACAGTTCTGAGGTCTTTTACCGTGGCTGCTATAGAAGCTCGCCACTTGAGTGCAGGAAACCTGATTGGTTCTTGCCTAATTACAATGTGAAATTGCCTGATAAACCTGAGACGGCAGTTGCTGGAAGTCCAAAGGATTGCGAGGCGGCTTGTTTGAGATCTTGTAGCTGTACAGCTTATTCCCACAGTGGAGACCAATGCTTCACTTGGTATGGGGTTCTCATGAATTTGCAGCAGGATGTCCCAGGTGGGCAAACGATCTTCATTAAACTTGCAGGTTCCGATTCTAAATTCCCAAGTTCGGAGAACAAGAAAAGGGTTATCATTGGTTGCGTGGTGGGTTCAGTGATTGTGTTGTTGGCAATTACTGTATCTGTAGTAATCGTTAGATTGAGAAAGAAGAGAAAGGCTGAACCTGGAAAGGTAATGGAAGGGTCTTCAGTTGCTTTTACCCAGAAAGAGTTAAAGATTGCTACAAGGAATTTCACGGAGAAGTTGGGAGAAGGAGGGTTTGGTTCTGTTTACAAAGGGACACTGCCTGATTCCAGTGTTGTAGCAGTGAAGAAGCTGGACGGCGTCAGCTTCAGCCAAGGTGACATGCATAAGCAATTCCTTGCAGAAGTCAGGACCCTTGGTACCATCCAACATATCAATCTGGTTGGTTTGAGAGGTTTTGCTAGTGATCCTACTAGAATGCTTTTAGTCTATGACTATATGCCCAATGGTTCGTTAGCTTCCCATCTGTTCACGGGAGAAGATGCAAAGACTTTAGAATGGAAGACACGGTACAACATCGCACTAGGAACGGCCAGAGGGTTAGGTTACCTACATGAGAAGTGCAGGGAATGCATAATCCATTGCGACATCAAGCCAGATAACATACTTCTAGACTCTGAATTCATACCCAAAGTGGCGGATTTCGGCATGGCAAAGCTCTTCGGGAGGGACTTCAGCAGGGTTCTGACAACATTTAGGGGAACAATAGGATACCTAGCACCTGAGTGGCTTTCAGGGGAGGCCATTACAGCCAAGGCTGATGTTTACAGCTACGGGATGATGCTTTTTGAGCTAGTATCAGGAAGGAGAAACTCACAACATACAAGTACAGGTCATTACTTTCCAACTTGGGTAGCAACTGTTGTAAATGAAGGCGGGAACGTGCTAGATCTATTGGACCCTAGATTGAATGGGAATGCTGATATTGAAGAGGTGGGAAGAGTTTGCAGAGTTGCTCTATGGTGCATCCAGGGTGACGAAAGTCACAGGCTGACAATGAGCCAGGTCGTGTATGTTCTTGAGAAGATTTTGGAAGTGAACATTCCTCCGATTCCAAGAATTCTCCAGACATTTACTGATCTAGATTCTAATGGCCAACAATTCTGGATTTCTCGGTAGATTTGAAAGCTCTTATCTTTGTTACGGTGTGGAGCCGCCATGATCCTTCTTGTTATCCAGCATTGATTTCTTATCCAACTCGATGTCACCATCGTTTTGGTAAACCATGGTGATATCAGCAAAATTGTACCTGTTTGGAAGGGAGGAAAAGCAGCACGCATGGGAATTAGGGTCGGATAGATAGAGGATGCTCCAGCCTCAAATCAGAAACTCTGACTCTTGTGTAACGTGTCCCCATTAACATGCAAAGCTTCGCCACGTGCCGGAACATGCCGCCAGCAACCTCCAGTCGACGATCGAGTATCTCGCTGTCTCTCGTCCGGCCACCGAGCTCTGGCTCGTAACTCACTCCACTGTCTTTCTCACTCTCTTTTTCCGATATCTCTCGTCTTCTTCCTTTCGGGCTGCCATCATTTCGATCCTCATAGCCATTGGAAAGCTTTTCGTCAAAAGCCAATTGCAGACTCGGTATAATACACAGAGTAACTGGAAATCGAAACATCGGCCCGTGACAATTACCAAAGAGAAGTGATGTTGAGCTTATTATCGTACGAGACGGTTGGCGAAAATGTGTCTCCTGAGCACCCCCAGGTTGTCCCCATTACGATTTTCGTGGCAGTGCTGTGCCTCTGCTTGGTCATTGGCCATTTGCTCGAAGAGAATCGTTGGGTTAACGAGTCCATCACCGCCATCTTCATCGTCAGTATTCCTCTCTTTCTTTTCTATCTTTCCTATCTGAACCCTTTTATTGAGCTGATTGACGTGTGTATTAACGATTGTGATTAAAATTTGTGGACGAGGGCAGGGAGGCTTAACTGGAATCCTGATCTTGGTCTTGCGGAAGGGGCAAAGTTCTCACCTTTTGAGGTTCAGTGAGGAGCTCTTCTTCATTTACCTCCTTCCCCCCATCATCTTCAATGCCGGGTAAGTGGGTTTTTTTCCAATACTCTTTGCTATGCTTTGGAGATGGACATTATCGATTCAGCCTCAAGAAAGTTGCGTGCTTTTCTTTGTGTGTATATGGTGATGAGCAGATTTCAGGTTAAGAAGAAGCAGTTCTTTCAGAACTTCATAACCATTATGCTGTTTGGGATTGTTGGGGTTTTCATCTCAACAGTCATTATATCCCTAGGTAAAACATCCCTTTCAGGCTTTCACACATTTGCTTTCTCTGTTCTTGATTGATGTAGTGATGACTGATTAGTGTGCTATATGTGGTTTCAAATGTTAATGTTCTTTCCCTAGGCAGCTGGTGGCTGTTTCCTAAACTTGGATTCCTCGGTCTAGCGCCGCGAGACTACCTCGGTGAACATTCCTGTTTTCCATTCATTTTTCATATGATTCTACTGTGCACCTTGTACTGAGTCATTGGAATGATCCTTCTTTTTTTGTGGCCGCTTGTCGAGTTCAGCTATAGGAACCATATTTTCGTCGACCGATACAGTGTGCACCCTGCAGGTATGTAAGGATCGAAGAGAACCGGTCCTTCTCTTGTCCCTTGATGCTTTTGGCACTGCCAAAGTTTCTTCTTTTGATGCTCTTGCAATGCGCCTGTAGGTTCTTCACCAAGATGAAACACCTTTGCTCTACAGCATAGTGTTTGGGGAAGGAGTAGTAAACGATGCAACATCAGTTGTTCTGTTCAATGCTGTTCAGAAGATGGATGTCAGCAAGATCAACTCCCAAACAATACTCAGTGTCATTGGAGATTTCCTCTACTTGTTCTCCACCAGCACTGCTCTTGGAATCGGTGTGAGTGTTCACCGAATTGAACGTGTTTTTCTCATCGAGCTATATTTATATAGGCAAAGGCCTGTCTCACCCCAATTTCTCTTGTTTAGGTTGGCCTCCTCACTTCACTTGTGCTTAAAACACTCTACTTTGGGAAGTAAGTACCCCTTGCTCGGAAAGGTAGTTAGAACACATGAGTGGGAACTACTGTCTAACTTTTTATTGCCTAAAAAAATTGCATTGACCAAACTGGTTTCAAAAATCCTAACACAAGTTTTGTCGTTTGAAAACAGACACTCAAGCATACGTGAACTCGCCATGATGGTATTAATGGCTTATCTATCTTACATGCTCGCCGAGGTACTTTTGCTTTACTTAAACCCAGTACTCACTAGCAGTGTTCATGCTGCGGGTTTGATGAATGGAGCAACATTAACACTCTTTTGGATTCTGCAGCTGCTTGAACTAAGCGGGATTCTCACTGTTTTCTTTTGTGGAATCATCATGTCGCATTATTCTTGGCACAATGTGACGGAAAGTTCCAGGATCACAGCCAGGCATGTATCACATCAGGAAGAGTCAAATCAATCACTGCAATCCTTTTGGCATTTCTATATGAACTTACCTTGGTACTTTTATGCAGACATGTTTTCGCCATGTTGTCCTTTGTCGCCGAGACGTTCATATTTCTCTATGTGGGCATGGATGCTTTTGACATCGAGAAGTGGAAGATGACTAAATTGAGGTACAGCTTCCTTCAGAAGTTATTTGCATATGTTTTATCAGCTTGATATCAATTTTGCCAGAGGTAACAGAAAATTACTCATGGTTGACAGCTTAGGGACTTCCCTTGGGATCTATAGCTCAATAGTGTTTCTGATATTGGTGGGGCGTGCTGTATTCGTGTTTCCACTCTCTGCATTTTCCAACTTCATGAACAGACGCAAAACATCCCCGCTCACCTTCAAACAGCAAGTCGGGTTTTTTCTTTCTTTGCTGCTAAATTGCGATGTGGGGTCGATTGAAACACATTCAATTCCTAAAATAACTTTTTCCCTTTACTTGGGTACTTTCATTTCTTGTGCAGACTGTTATTTGGTGGGCTGGCCTAATGAGAGGTGCTGTCTCTATCGCTCTTGCTTTCAAACAGGTACCTCCCGTTGTCAAGCTGGTTGATTGTTGTTGTCAATGATTGTTATGATTAGCATATAGTAGCATATGTTCTTTGGCTGTGCATGCAGTTCACCTATTCTGGCGTCACGTTGGATCCTATCAATGCAACAATGATCACCAACACCATCATAGTCGTTCTCTTCACTACATTGGTAAACAGCAAAACCCCTTCCTTTTATGGTTTTCCTGTCTTTCCTCACCAGACTCTGAAGTGAAACAATGGACTGTTGCATTGTCATTACTGGCAGGTATTTGGTTTCTTGACGAAGCCCCTGGTAAATTACCTAATCACACACCGAATGAGAAACCAGAACAATCGTGGGGGTGGGAGTGGAGGAGAACAACCAAGGTCCCCAAAAGACGATGTGGTGCTTCCTTTGCTGTCCTTTGACGAATCTGCATCTGCTAACATGCAAATCGCAAGGGAGAGTTTCTCCTTGTTGATGGACAGGCCGGTATACACCATCCATCACTACTGGAGGAGGTTTGATAATGCCTACATGAGACCCATTTTTGGTGGCCCTCGGCACAGCCGATCAGAATGCTGAGTTTCTACCGCCACTACTGCTCTTTCTCTCTCTCTCTCGCTAAAGTCTCGGCCATTTCTTCATCGAAGAATACCTGAATCGCCTCAAGGCAGCCTAAGGGTAGGGGAGAAAGGGGTGTGTTTATTTGAGTTGGTGCCTAGACTATGCATGTACAAAACACTAAATGCAGATGTCGAGTATAGTAGAGATTGTGTATGGAATGGAAGGAATGTAGTAATGTTCAAGTTTTGGAAGTTTTGATGGTGGAAGCTACTATCTGAATGTAAATTATTTAAGAGAACTCTCAACAAACATTTTTTGTGAAAAATGGAGCTTCCTTCATTAAAGCAATACATTGTTCCAGAAATCATCAAAGTACAAGAACAAACTTCAGACTACTAAAACCAAGTCACAGAAAGGATCATTCCCAAAGCTGAATCCCAGGTCCCTGAATAGTCCAAGTCTCCTTACTAGTAGACATCTTCATTCAAGGCGCTGCAACCACCAAAATGCCATTTCAAATATGAGTTTACAGAATCATAAGTTTCAGCTCCACATAGCTGTGAAAAAGGAGACTCCAAATCAACAAAAAAATGCAGTGGCAGAGGAACTTACATTTGCATTCTGGTGGAGTCTTGAGGCCACATTTCTCAGGCAAAGCAAGGGCACGAGCGGGGTCGATTCCAAATGCTGGGAGGAAATCCTTGAACATGCATAGGCATGGCAAGTTGGAACGTTTGATCATCTTGCAGCAGTCGTAGGTGGGGCGCGGGGGTGATTCTCCGGTGACAGCAGGGCGGCAGACAATGAGCTGGGACGGATCAACCCGGCAATCACTGTTTAGCCTGACAGCGGCTGAACTACCACCACCTGAGCCTCCATCTATCACAGTAGCTGCAGGCAGTGCTAGCACTACTACAAGCACAAAAAAGAGCGCAAGAGCTTTGAGGTCGGCCATAGTCCTGCTTCCTGATGTAGGGTTTTGAGGAGTGTAGGCTCTGTAATTTATACAAAGCAGGCAAAAAGGGTTGCAGTTTGGTTACCCCTTGAGTTTTGTTTAATTGAAGCCAAATGGAATATTAGTAGTAGTGTCATGTGCTCACCAGTTTGTTGCAGGGAGTCACGGGAAGGATGAACAACATTAAACTAAACAGTTCCCGTGAGGTAGAACGTTAAAAAATAAAGCATAAGCAACTAGATTAAGATTTATAAACTGGTGACCCGACAAAGCGAGCCGAAACACTAAGCTCCTCGGATACCTCACACAGTCACACACATGTTAAGAGGATCCTTTTCGACAAGCTATTGAGGTTATCTACAGCCTACAGAACATGGCATGGTCAGTGGCTCAGGCTCGTCAGTCGAGTCGGACTCGGTAGTAATATATGATTTTGTTGTAGAGACGAAGAGCATTGCGGGATGAAATACAGGAGGAGTACAGGCACTCACAGAGAGCAGAAGCCAATAGCATACAACACTACCACGAATAACTGTTTTGCTGAGATTGAAGTACATTAGTTTTTGAGTAAAACATCTAGCTAGAGTTGACATTCCCAATCCACAAACGAACAAAAGCAAGGAGTCATAGCAGCAGGCTCCAACAAGACAAAAGAAACTACCTAGATACAAATCATCTGCCAGCCAACTGCCTTGCATGATCAAAGAAACCCAAATAACAACACTAAGATGAGAGGAGATATCCTCCCAAGCTTCAGATTAGTATTTCCATCTTTGCAAAGGGATGAATAAACAGCTAACTATATCCACAGAAGGTTAACCGTCAGTCACCGTGGTTAAGGAAGGTGGAGGGAGTGTCTAATGATTAATATCTAGACTACCATCAACTAACCAGCCATTAAGTTAGCAGCAAGCAAACAGCCATTCGCACATAATTAAGCCCTAAATATATGCTGGCGGGCTAGAACCTCCATTAGCTTTGCAGCTGGGAAACTTTGACAACCAAAGAGCTCTTGAAGCTTCGAGTCGCATACAATCACTGTTGGGTTAACAAGATCCTACAAAGAGCAAATTATAGCCAGTTAAGAATAAAAATAAACAACCTCGTTGTCCAATCATCAGATGAAGCTCAAATAGTCGTTTTATACCTCCAAATTATTTGCATTGATGTATTCCCAAAGGCGAGTGAAAAGCTCCGACTGGAGCATCACCCTCTCCCCAACACCGAAAAAGTTCGCAAGTTCTTCAGATATCCCCACAGAAGGAGCAGGAGCTGGAGCTGGAGCTGGAGCAGGAGCATCCTGTGTGTCTTGAGACTCCTTTTCTTCATCCTCTATCGCTGCAGAAGGAGCAGAAGCAGGAGCAGGGGCAGGGGAAACAGCAAGAGCAGGAGGAGCCTGTGTGCTTTCAGATTCCAGTTCTTCATCATCCTCTACTTTTTGCTTCTTAGCACTAGCCTCTTCTGTAACATCAAAACAACAATAACATAAGCTTGACATCATTACAAACCCCCCCAAGGAAACAGAGAAGCTCCACACAGTAATCAAGACATCACTCACTCGCGGGATCAAGACGAAGGATATGTTTAGAGAGCAACTTGTTCATCTTGAACATATCAGTACAGTCGGTCTCAAACACCACACGCAGTGCATCATCACAGATAATCTTCCTTTTGTTGCTCGGGTCTTGGAGGTTGTGCTTTCTTATGTATACCCATAACTGCTTAACAATCTGGAAACATAGATTCGGAAATCACAACATTCACAACTCCTCGGTCAGCTATGTTGCCATGCTAGCTCAAAGAACGCAAAGTAAGGTACAAGAAACAAACAAACAAAAAAGAACCTCAGTCCTGGGAAGAGCAGGATGGCCGACTACAACTTGAAGCTCCGGTGAGACGCCGCAGAGCTTGTTCAACCCACCTGCACCGCCTTTCCTCTTACCCTTACTACTGCAAATGAGAAGAGCAGCATTCAACCAGCAGTTAGCAACAGCTCGTTATACCAAAATGAGGCTGCCCTGACCAGAACACACAACCTCAATGGAGCAAACAGTATATCTGCTTTACATTCAATTCATTAGTCCCGGGTTCAGAAAGCATAATCTTTTTTCTACAATCATTGATCTAACCCAATCGCAAGCGAAATGGGATGCTAAAGATTTGTGCATTCCCGCTCCCCCCAGAAAACCAGATAATCCTTAGCAACCAAAAAAAATTGAAATGTTGAAGGGTTTACAAAAGGGATATCACATTTCCCATTTCAGAACAACCAAAGCACTGCGAAATGGAGAAGGGGAGATAGATAAGCGTTACCTCTCCTTGGGGGACTCGAGGGGAGGAGCAGCAGCAGGTGCAGAGGACTCCAGCCTGACGGCGCGAGGAGAGAGGACGGAGCCAGGGGAGGGAGAAGGAGAGTAGCCGGAGGAGAGGAGAAAGTTGGGGGTTTGGTGAGGGGCATAATGGTCTTTGTAAGAAGGCGGAGGAGGAAATTGCTGGTGGTGGTGGTGGTGCTGCGGTGGCTGCTGCGGGTGAGAATGAGAAGAAGGGTAGCCGGGAGAGAGCAAGAAATTGGGGGTTTGGTGCGGCGGAGGGTAGCCGGAAGATAGCAGGAAGTTGGGGGTTTGGTGGGGGGCATAACGGTCTTTGTAAGATTGCGGAGGAGGAAAGGGTTGCGGCTGCTGCTGGTGCTGCGGCGGCGGCTGCTGCTGCTGCTGCTGCGGCGGCGGTGGCTGGAAGAGGAACTGCTGAAGCTGAGATCGGATGAAGTCGACCTTGGGGGAGAGGTCGACGCCGAGTTTGGACTCGAGGTGGTGGACGACGGCGGTCATGGAGGTGAGAGGGGCGGCGGAGGATTGGGACTGGGAAGTGGAATAGTCGTGGAGGAGGGAGTGGAGAGCTTGGGATATCTCTTGGTCCGACATCTTTTTTTTTTTAACCCGATAACTTCTGCCCACCTTGAAGATCTCTCTCTGTCTCTCTCTAGAATTTCTCCTGTTTTCTTTCTCTTCTCTCTGTCTGTCTCTCTCTCCTTCTGTTCTTTTCCTCCCACCCAGTGCTTTGCTTTGGGCTTGGCCCCTCCCCTCTCCTTCCTCCTTTCTTTCTCTCTCTCTCTCTCTCTCCTGTCTCTTTCTAGATTGGTTAGTTATCAAAATCGAACCGGACCAGGCGGTTGAACCGTTAGAAATCACAACCGTCCATCAATACAGCCCTATCCTTGGTTGACTATGTTGAAGATGTGACTAATTAAGTACACCGATTACATTTCTATGAACAAATATCATATGGGTTTGTAATTGTATGCAAGTGATTGTCCATCTAACTTCTTCGAGATCTGACATCCAGTCAAGTCAGGATATCATTCACATCGGTTGCTATAATTTTGAGATCAATGTTTGCATTGTATTTGTTTGACTAATTAGATTGGTAGTTTATTTGGACAGTGTAGGTCCCACCGAAACTCAAGTGTTGCTTCAATTCGAGATCAGTGTGTGGTCGTCTTTGTTGGCAAACAATACTGGAAGTTTCTATGAGTAATGCAGATCACATCGAAACTCAAGTTTCTTATGGCATGTTGTTCATTGTTTTCGTTGACTTGATCAAGCAGGTTCAATCAATGTTTGACCGGTCAAATTGAGAATAACTCAATTAGTTTAGATTAACTCGAATGTATGCAAAAAGCATATAGAAGTAGGGGTAAAATACCTCGGATACCATTTAAATTTGAGAATTGGGGTAGACATATCACTTAAGTTTGAATAGGACGTCGGGTACCACTGAACTCTATTATATGTGCACCGGTACCACATAAGTTTACTGTTATGTGCATTGCGTTAAAGTTGAAAGAATATTCCTTGAAATATTCCGTTTTCTAAATTTCATAATTGGTCCTTCTACTTTTCTTATTGCAAAAAAAATCATTTGGACTTATGAAAAACATAATTTTTTATTGTTTAATTGGAATCCTCTTTTGAATACTTGATAGAAAATCATTTTTTCAATAGAAAATTTAGAATCAATTATTATTATAAGTATTTTCAATTATCATTATGTGTTCTTATAATTGAATAATTTTCTCAAGTAAATATATTTTATGAATTCTATCGCGATATAAAAAATATGAGAATGTTATATTTAGTTCTCTTACATCAGAGTGATGTTGTCTAATTTTCAATGTTAAATTTCCTTTTAATTCTCTAATATTATATTTGTAGATGTTTCATATTAGTTAAATTTAGTAATTCTAATTCTCTTCTTATAATCATATTTTATTTTCTATATTTTTTACTGAATGTTGTAGCTTTTATAGCGCATTTATTACTTGGTTACTTTCCGTCTCTTTTCGTTCTAAATGTTTTTTTAATTACTGGAATATGTTTTATTCCTTATGATTGTGTTCTATTTATCTTTCTTTGGTTTTGATGTATTGATGATCGATTAAGTTCTATTTTAACTATTTCTAATAGTGCTTCTAATTGAATTAGAGTGTTTAAATAGATATTCTAATATTAATTTTAAATATTTATTATTATATTCTAGTGTACTTATTATTTTTCTTATGTTCATTTAATATTTGTACTAATTTATCTATTTTATGAAAAAGTTTGATTAGCCATTTTAGTAATAATATTTTTAGAAGGTTTTCTAATTTTTATATTAGATAAAACTTGTTGAAATATAGTTTTGAATGTTCTAAAAAATTTTGGGTACCAAAAAGTAATTAAAAGTTTGGGTTGGATGGAAAAGTAGACGGATGCACATTTTGTCGACTTTAATGGTACTCGACGCCCTATTCAAACTTAAGTGGTATGTCTACCCAAATTCTCAAACTTAAATGGTATCCGAGGTATTTTACCTGTAGAAATACTCGACAGGAAAACATAGAGAGTTGATTTAACTTACTCGATCGCTAAATCAAACAGTCAAACCCTGCCAATTTTGACCAGATTCAATCGAGTTTTTGACCAAATCCAGTTTAAAGACAAAGTCTAGACAAAAAGTAGCTCAAAAAGCACAACATTACCTCTACATTTACATGTAGCTCTAAAAGTAGAACATTACCTTCACAAACTTTTCTCTCGTTTCTAAGTTCTAACTATTGTCTAACTTATTGTTTTGTTCATATGTTTGAACCGAACTTCTCTTAAAACTCCAACCATTAAATCCATTTAGGGCTGGACAAACTGAAAATTGAAAAGAACGATCTCCGAAAACTCAAGGATAAGAACATTACAGTCCAGTTACACTCTAGATTAGCAATCTCAGTCCAAGGCGCTGAACTATGAACTTAAGCAATAGATACACAGCAGAAGCTCAGTCACATATACATGGTAATGATCTGTTCTACAGAAGTGGAGGGTTAATTCCTTTGCCCATACTCCCTAGTCCCTACCACATACAGGATAGCAATACAACAGCACAAACCTAAACCAAGCCAACAATATACTACAAGGGGACAAGATACCAATAATTACATTTCTTGCCCAGCTAGGATCTAGCACTGTTCAGGGAGTTAGTAGACTCCCCAACAGTTTAACTTATATCTGATCTAAAGAGGTTCCGCCTCAGATTACTGCATCCCGCGAGCAACAGTACATTCGCGTTTATTAGTAGACTTGAGTTTGGAGCAATAAGCAAAGTCACAGAGAGACATTCTACCACATTCACAGAGTCGTAATAAGGTGCTGCATCGATGATAGCCTACAGAAATCAAGAATAAAGCTGCATTTTGTTACATTACAGATCATATATGAATTAGCTAAAAAGGAAGAAAAGCACACAGTATATGGGCAACCAGTCTAACCTGCCATCAGTTCCCAGCAATCATGTTCTAAATATATGATGCTGGGACAGAACTTCCGGGATCTTTGAGGCTGGGAGACTTTCGCAACCAAAAAGCTCCTGAAGCTTTGTGTCGCATTGTATCACCATTGAGTTATGAGGATCCTACAGGCAAAACACAAATGTATGAAGTTGGATCTACGCAAATGGCACCCTGCCATGCTCATTGACCAATAACAACCATTTTGAAGATCTCGAGTTACTGTGTAAGGGTCTAGCAGACAAGGCATAGCCACAAAACAAGGGAGACACAAGACAACACCGCATACTTGACTGCATGCATCACAAAGTTTACCTCCAAACTGTTTCCATTGATGTAAGCCCAAAGGCGAGAAAAAAGCTCTGTCTGAAGCATCACCCTCTCACTAACACCAAAAAAGTTTGCAAGTTCTTCAGATATCCCCACAGAGGGTCCAGGAGGAGCCTGTGTGCCTTGAGGCTCCTTTTCTTCATCCGGTATCCCTGCAGAAGGAACAGGCGCAGCATGTGTACCTTGAGACTCCTGTTCTTCATCCCCTACCTTTTGCTTCTTCGCACTGGCCTCTTCTGAAATATCAAAACAACAATAACAAAAGCTTGATGTCACTACAAACCCCTCACACAAAACAGAGAGCCTCCACACGGCAATCAATCAATCAATCACGCACTTGGGGGATCAAGACGAAGGATATGTTTAGAGAGCAACTTGTTCATCTTGAACATATCAGTACAGTCAGTCTCAAACACCACACGCAGTGCATCGTCGCAGATAATCTTCCTTTTGTTGCTCGGGTCTTGGAGGTTGTGCTTTCTTATGTACGCCCATAACTGCTTAACAATCTGGACACATTTATTCCGAAATCACAACAGTCACGACTCCTCGGTCAGCTATGTCGTCATGCAAATGAAAAGGATGCAAAGTAGGGTTCACAAAAGAACCTCAGTCCTGGGAAGAGAAGGATGACCGACTATAACTTGAAGTTCAGGTGAGACCCCACAGAGCTTGTTCAAACCACCTGCCCCGCCCTTCCTCTTACCCTTATTACTGCAAATAAGATTAGCAGCATTTCAATACCTCGTTAGACCTGAAGAATACCAAAGTAAGAAATCTCTTTTACAGTCAATCATTTGCTTTGGCATAGCAAAGCGGAATCTTTCTTCCCCATTCACTGATTCAAATATTAACCCAATTACAGGGCCTAGACCCTGCATGCATTGCAAGCAGAATGGAGATGCTAAAAGTGAAACAGGGGAAAGGGTTTGAAAAAAAGGGGATATCATTATCACATTTCCCATTTCAGTAAAAAACGAAGCACGGAGGAAACAAGAAACAGAAATTCAGGAATAACCCTTTACCTCTCCTTGGGAGAATCGAGGGCGGAACCAGCCAGGGCAGCAGGGGAGTCCAGCTTGACCGCAGTGGTCACTGTGACGCCAGGAGAGAAGACGGCACCGGCGGCGGAGTGAGGAGGAAAGCCGGGGGAGAGGAGGAAGTTGGGGGTTTGGTGAGGGGCATAACGGTCTTTGTAAGTGGGCGGATGAGGAAAGGGTTGCTGCTGCTGGTGCTGCGGCGGCGCCGGCAAAGGCGGGTGAGGAGGCTGGAAGAGGAATTGCTGAAGCTGGGATCGGATGAATTCGGCCTTCTGGGAGAGGTCGACGCCTAGTCGGGATTCGAGGTGCTTGACGACGGCGGTCATGGAGGTGAGAGGGGCGGCGGGGCCGCCGGCGGAGGACTGGGAAGTGGAGTAGTCGTGGAGAAGGGAGTGGAGAGCTTGGGATATCTCTTGGTCCGTCATTGCTTTTCTATTTTTCTCTTTTAGCCGCCCGCCCAACTTCTTGTCTGATCTCTCCCTCCCTTTCTCTCTCTAGGTTTTTCCTCAACTCTCCTCTTTCTTTCTCTTCTCGATTGCCTGCCTCTCTCTCACCTCTTTCTTTGCCTTGGCCTTTGGCCTGGCCCCCTTCCTTCCCCTGGTCCTTTTTCTCCCTCCTCTTTCTTTCTCTCTCTAGATTGGTTGCTAGGGTCACGTACGGTCGTCATTCTCGTAACAGAAAACCAAATCCTAGTTTGCCACTTGGAATCTTTTTATTATAACCTCTCTATTTTAATTAGGATATTCTTTTCAAAAATTAAATTAGAAATTAGAAAATAAAAAAATATATATTCAATAAGTCCAAGTTACAACAAAATAGAAAACATCATAACATGCTTTCATATTAAAAAAAAATAGTAGAAATACATTTTTATAAACAGTAAAAATACTTATTAGGGCTTTACATAAAAAAAATTTGTAATTATTTAATGTTATTGGTATTAGTTACTCATATCATTAGTTTTAGTTAGTGGCTCCTACTTTGTAGCTCCAATCTATTCAAGAGTTGGTACTTAAACCACTCTCCTGATCAATGCAAATCACTACATTCAATCGTTCACATGGTATCAGAGCTACCGCTATGTTCAATCGTTCACAAATACATTTTGTATCTACAGTGTTCAACAAAATATATTTTAGAGCTAATATCAATGGGGAACCCGGACTATTAAGAAAGTGTCAATTGTGTCCTAAACTATTCAATATGACATTTATGAGAGTTGTAACTCGCAATAAAAACAAAAACATTTTTTCGTACACCCACCCATTAATCTGATGCAATTCTACAGGAAAGCAGACAAGTATATTGACAAAGCCACAAAGGTGTTTGGGCGAAAATCCAATTAAAGGACGATAGAAGGGCATGTTGGTTTAGAAACTACAAGGGTGTATTTGTACGATAGACCGAAATTGGGTGACTAGAATAAGATAGAGTCATGAACTGCATTTACTTTCCGTAAAGAATATCTCCATCTTTTTGCGAAGCCTTAGATTACAAAAAATTTCTTCGTAAGATAAAATTATCATCACTTTAGATTCTAGACTTAAGAACAGTAAAGTACACCGAGAAATATTTTATGAAAGAAGAAGAATAAATGTTTTCTTGTGTTGTCTCCTTTGCCATCAACTGAGCCTCTGATTTCATAATGCATGAATGACAACTTTGAAAGATCACAAACTTTGGTTAGTTAAAGTAGTATCCATAACTTCCATTAGTCTTTAATTGTTACATTAGTTTAACTGCATTAAGTAATGCAATTGGAGTTGGAAAGGATGTGTTTTTTACATTTTGAAACTTACTTCCACTCCAAAATCCAAACGTTCCAATTAAACCAATGCATCAAGTGGATAGATTAATGGAATTGAACATTGGTTATTCCAAAGTAAAGGAACAATAATTCCTTATTAACTTATGCTCTTTTAATTTAACCAATTTGGGTCTACCTCATTTCCAACAGGGCAAATGCCAATTACACGACATTGAATCATTGTTTTGCTAAGATTTTCACTGCATTAGTTTTTACAAAAAAATCAAGAAGCCCCTAAAAAAATGCTCTAATAAGACCAAGAACTATACAATACCAAAATAAGACCAAGAACTATCTACTTAAATACATAAATCGTATGCATGTAAATGACTTGTCATGATGAGAGGAACCAAATGATAACAACATTAAGAGAAAAGGCTTCATCCTTTCAACTTTGCCATCATACATGGATGGATTTTCAACTTACTATTTGTTCAAAGGGATGAATAAACAACCAACTATATCCACAAAAAGGTTAGCAATCAGTCAACATTGTTAAGCAAGTAAGAAACAAAAGAGGGAGGAGAAATACTATTCAATCATTACTATTTATACGACCAACCCTTTACTTTGGCAACAAGCAACCCATCATTTGCAGAAACTCAAATCCTAAATGTGTGTTGGCAGGATAGGATGTCCATGATCTTCTCAACTGGGAAACTATGACAGCCAAAGAGCTCTTGAAGCTTCATGTCACATACTATCACTCCGGGATTAACGGGGTCCTAAAAAGAAAAAAGTATGATCACTTGTTTTAACCAAAAAAGCAAACTCGAATCATATTTAATAACGACAAAATAAATTTTTATTACCTTTAGATTGTTGGAATTGATGTATTCTAACACGCGATTCAAAACTTTGGATTGGGGCATCTCCCTCACCTCAACACCAAAGAAGTTGGCCAACTCTTCTGATATCCCGACAAAATGAGGAGTTGGACCTTGAGCTGGAGAAGCAGCTAGCGATGGAGCTGGAGAGGGAGAAGACAATTGAGCTGCAGACACAGTGATTTGTGTCACACAAGAAGACTTTTTCTCTTCGCTGGCCACCTTCTGTTTCTTAGAACTGGGCTCCTCTGAGAAAAAATCCCACTCCAAAACAGTCAGCACTAAATATAAGGAAGTAGTTAAGATTCATGCATGGAACTCTCATAACAAGTCGAGTTATTGAGACAAATAGTTATGACATGTTATCAAAGTTGATTTATTCTTGAGGTCACATATTCAAGTCCTCACGAGTCACAACCCTCAATGTTAATTGTTATCTTAAAGCCATGGTATGGAGGGCACTGGTGGAGCTAGGTTGAAGTTAGGAGGTGCTATAGCCCTCCTCAATTTTGAAATATAGGTAAAATTACATATAAATTTTGCACAAATTTAGGAATAAGAATAGTCGGTAGGCCTTTAACACCCACCCCACATTTACGAAAATTCAAGTTACCCCCTCATCAGTCGAATTTCTGGTTCCGTCACTGATAACAGGCTTATGCAAACATCAAGTTCATAAGTTGGTTTTCGTCCGAGGGATCGTATGAAGAAGCGACTAAGATCTATACATGTACATCTTCCAACAACTCAAGTTATTGCCACTAGTTGGTTTTCACACTAAATAAAGCATCCAAGGGGGAAAATGAAAGAAGCCACAAGAGAGCAGACTTACTATTAGGGTCGAGATGTGTGATGTGCTTAGACAACAACTTGTTCATCTTGAACATGTCAGTACAGTCCGTCTCAAACACCACACGCAGAGCGTCGTCGCAAATTATTTTCCTCTTATTGCTCGGATCCTGGAGGTTGTTCTTCCTGATGTATGCCCACAACTGCTTCACAATCTACAAAAATGTCATTTCCATGGATGGAATTTGTTATTTACATAATGCTTCTTACAAAAAGTCCAAAAACTTAGGGTTACAGGAGGAAGGCGATAACCTCTGTTCTCGGAAGAGCTGGGTGGCCAACAACAGCCTCAAGCTCCGGTGAAACGCCACAGAGCTTGTTCAGACCTCCGGCCCCGCCTCTCCTTTTTGCTTTACTCGACCCACTAATAGTAAGAACGGAAAAAAAGAATGAGATCACTAGCCCACCATAAAAAATCAATAGGTCGTTCGACTTCCACACGGGAATGGCAAAATAACACATCATCATCGCGAATATCCAATCAAATTTGAATTGATATATCGAGAAATTTTTTATCATATCATCTTTGGATGGATTTTCCCATAACCCGACAAGGTAAGTAATGAATTTGGTGCGATTTTTATATTTTAAGTATTATTACCAAACCTAGCAGAATATGTGTTAATAGTATATTCTACACAATTTTTTATAATCTTTTCTCAGTTTTACAAACAATGAGACAAAGAAACTTCAATTAATATTGACATTCTAAGAAAAAAAATTAGATGAAATCAGAACTTCATATATGATTGTTCATTGATGGTGCAAGTGAGTTTTTCTCGAAAGACATACGAGTTGGTTTTGGAATATGCCATATTTCATTCCCGCATAGTTCTAGTTATTTGAATGGTTACGATTTTAAAAGTGTGGTTGAGAGATGGTATGTGAGAAAATCGATCCCATCCAAAATCGTAGCCATCCTACATCCATGGATAAAGTAATCAGAGAAGGCTAACCAACCTCGCCTTGGAAGGGTCGATGGTGGTGGTGGTGTTATCGGGCTTGACCGAATGAGCAGGGATGGAGTGGAAGGACAAGCCTCCAGGAAAAGAAGAGGAGAACAGATTTGGGGAAGCAATATCCGAATGAAAATGGGGAGTTTGCTGGAAGGCATAATGTTCTTTAGGCTGAATCAACGATAATGGTTGGTGTGTATGTATCTGCGGGTGTTGGTGTTGAAATGGTTGGTGCTGTTGATGAAGGTGGTACTGATATGAATGAGGCTGGTTCTGGTGTTGGAGGTAGAGCGGTGGTTGATATTGTTGCGATTGAAGATGAGGCGGTGGAGGTGGAGGTGGAGGTTGGAAAAGAAGATATTGTTGGATTTGAGCGCGAATGAAGTCTGTTTTGTGGGCTAGACCGATACCAAGCTTGAGCTCGAGGTCGCCGACTATGGAGGAGAGGGAGGTAAATGGAGGTGACGGGGAATCAAGGCGAGATGATTGAGATGAGGAAGAGTGGAGGAGAGAGTGCAAGGCTTGAGATATCTCATGATCCGTCATTTCCTCTTCTCCTCTGTTTTTCCTTTCTCTTAAAAAAAACTAGCAAACAAACAACATCATCACGGTGTTTCCTTCCCTAGTCTGGCCATGTCAATCCTCGATCTCTCCTTTCCTTCTCTCTCTCTCTTCTTTTGTGTTTAGAAATTTGGTTGCCATTTCTTTCTCTTTTCGCTCCGTCTTTGCCTCCCCTCTTCTCATTTCCTCTTATTTTTGTCTCTCTTGGTCGATTCTCTCTCCCCTTCTTCTGAGGATAAGTATTTGCGCCTCTCTCTCTCTCTCTCTAGAAGTGGGTGACTTTTCTTGGCATAGTTAGTAAATATTTCGTTTAATATGTGTATATATAGACACACATATTTTATGGGTTTAAATTTTTAATTTTTGTGTTATTTTCAAAACGTTTATTTTTCCCCGTCCATTTTATGATACATGTACTAAACACGTATTAAACCCTTATAATATTAATATTTATAAACTAATTGCTAGTTCGAATATGATTTATTTACTTCTAAAATAATTCTTTTCATGTCCTTTATGACTATTAACGTACTATAAACGTAACATTAGTTAAGAGATAAAATTAAATACTCGTATATATTTTATATGCAACTTAATCGAATCGTATTTTACTAACTATTTTGTTGGTGCACTGTGGTGAGATAAGTACTCGTATATATTTTATATGCAACTTAATCGAATCATATTTTACTAACTATTTTGTTGGTGCGCTGTGGCGAGATAAACATATTTAGTAGGGATAATTGTACACTAGTTTGGTTAAGCAATTGTTCTTAGTTCTTTGTTAGTTTTTGGGGATTCCACTTCTATCTATACTATATATAAAGCAGATTCATGGGTTGAATTTTCTCCCTTTCAAATTTCGAGCAACCAGAGTGAAAGTATGAAAGGTATTTGTTGGTGCACTGTGATGAGATAAGTACTCGTATATATTTTATATTCAACTTAATCGAATCATATTTTACTAACTATTTTGTTGGTGCGCTGTGGCGAGATAAACATATTTAGTAGGGATAATTGTACACTAGTTTGGTTAAGCAATGGTTCTTAGTTCTTTGTTAGTTTTTAGGGATTCCACTTCTATCTATACTATATATAAAGCATATTCATGGGTTGAATTTTCTCCCTTTCAAATTTCGAGCAACCAGAGTGAAAGTATGAAGGGTATTTTTGTCTTCGCAATTAGTTATTTGTTTCGTATAAAAATATATCGGCACCAAGATTTGAACCATGGTATCTTTAAAGAGAGATAAGAAACATAACCAATTACACTAAACAAATACATTGTATACTTTTTATTACAAAACATACACGAAGTTAAAATCTAAAAAACGGATGACTTTTGTATAATGATAAGCTAGCTCACTAAGTCTCCTGTAAGTATTTTATGGTGTTTGATACTTCAATTTTCATATTTGATTGTTTTAATTCTAGACTATCCTCCAATCTTAAAATAATGAAGGAGATTCATGAGTTAAATTTTCTCAATTTCAAATATCCAGCAACCAGAGTGATTTTTGGAAGGAAAAAATGTCATTTACCACACTTTGATTGGAATACTTTGTTTAAACATTTATGTTGGGCTTTAAATTTGTCGCATGGATTTTAGTGTTTCCGCTAGGCTTTAAATTCGTTGGGTTATATTTTAGTTTCTAATTTATTTTTTCTTTTATTGTAATGTTGCTAGAGGGACGCAAACTCTCTCAACCTCTAAACCTGGATAAGAGAAAACAAAGAAGCGGAAATCCGCATCCATAACTCCGCCACCAACTAGGTCGTTCTTAGGACCTCTCCATGGAGGTTTTGACACCTTTCATGCCAGACAAAGCTAATCAAGGAGCACCATAGAGGTCCAATAAGTCTCCCCAGAGCCGTGTTTCGCTTTGCAACCACACCTGCATATGAGAGTCGGAGATCCCAAGAGCTGCTACTGAAAAATTGCCAACTCTGCTAACAATACTCCTTCAGAAACAACATTCGAAAAACAAATGATCTCATGTCTCACTATTGGCATGGCATAAAATGCATCTAACTTCATTTAATTTACCCCACCGCATCAACTTTACCTTGGTTACTATCGCATCCATGGCCACAATCCATGCTATGATACTCCAACGTGACACATAGAATTTACTCTAGAGAAGAGCAGACCAGTGTTGTTTGCTCTTCACAGGACGTATCGTGTCCTAGACTGCACTCACTGAGTAGTTGTGCATCAATTTCCCATTCCAAAAGCCTTCATCACCATGCTTCCTCATAAATGACTACACAGTTGGCTAAAGCTTCATAATGCGTCTCCACGCCCGATCTTCTCTATTTTCACCTGTCAAACAACAAAAAGATGGTGTGTTTCCATAAATCCAATTATCAAACCAAGCTACACATGAATGAAAAAGTAAGTTATCATTATTCTAATAAAATTCCCAATCTTGAAGATTCCAATATAATTTTCGCTTCCATAATATATATGGTACTAATCGTTGGTTATAATTTACTTCAGCCTAATTCTGGCCTTTAGATTAATCTAACGGTTTAATAATGATTTGGATTACGATACAAAATCCAGACATAAAAAACTCTACAAAATCCCAACCATAGAACCATTTATCGAACGAACATGTATTTTTAACAACATTAGAGTTATTTTTAACAATTATGATATCAGTTTTAACTATACAATTTAGTACCTATTCCATATTGTGTGATGTTAACAATTATCATAATCAACAAAATGTTCATTTATAAAATAATTTGTTAATGATACCAAGAACATCAATAATATGAACAAACAACATTAATAGACAACTGTGATATTGGATCATACTGTTAACAATGAAATGATGTATTGTTAATAGTATACAAATTGAAACGTTGCCAACATAAGCAAAACCGTTAACCATATATATCTCATATGAACAGGAAGCAGCCAATGAACGAACCGTCACTGAAGCAATTAACACTAAAGTCTGAATATCAACAGTTAATAAATGAACCTTCCAAACTTTGACATCGACCGCAGCGGAAGAATTAGATGGCAGACATATACGAAGCAACGACGACGGTTATCGATTCTATTCCTCGTGATTAATGATATAAGCTTCGTCTAATGCAAATCCATCATGTCTGAAAAATGGTATATGAAGAAAGTGGAAATAGGGTAACCAAAAATTCATTTTGGAAAGAAGCGAATGTGTCGAACGACATAGAGAAAATAGAAAGGTATAAAATGAGAAGTTCCGACACAGTTTGAATGTGGTAGAGAAAGAGTGTGAGATTGAAGTTTCACATTTTTATTTTTTAAATACTTATTAAACTAATTATTAATTTAGAATATCGACATTTATCTTTTATGTATTTTTCTTATTGATTAATCAAATGATTCCTATTAAGTTAAGAAACATCTTTATGTGGATGTGGATAAGGGTTAACTCATCGCGATGACACACAGACTATTAATTAATGGTTTTTTGTTTCATGTAGCAGACCTTCAAATTGATAGGTTATATATATTTTTTTTTGTCTATTTCTCTTGCTTTTGCCTATTTAATTGACTCGGAAACACAATACTTTTTTCATGTACATCTCTTATTGGATTTCTTGATATTGAATTTCTCACAATGAACCTCTTTTTGATAATGTCTTTGACTCTCATCTTCAAGCTCGCTCATCTCCCCCCAAGTGTTTAAGATTATAGAAGGTGGTATTATCTCCTTTTATATCTAATTGTCTTTCCCTATATTTCTTTTGGGAGCATAATTAAAAGACTTTTGTTTCACATCTGAATATGCTATGGATTTTAGAGAGAATAAGATGCAACATTAAGGCACAGAGTTAGTTTTATATTTGGTTTTCAAAGTGAGCTCCCATGTATTGAGCATTTGAGATCAATTTGCTCTTCATTGCCCACTGTTTTGTCTACCTCTACTTTCACATTAAAATATTAATACCGAAGTTACCAACGAGGCATCTAAAGGCTCAACTTTTAAGTATAACTTCCGCAGTGCACAAAATACTCATTTGATTTTTCTTTTATGCATCGAGCTCTTGACTTATGTTAAGAATGCTCACTCGGAATCTTGGCACTATGTCATTTTCTGGTTTCTCTAATAGCTTCTACAACGACACTCTCATGCATGGATGCGAAATGATCACAAATTCTATAGCATATTAGTTTGTGCAAAATAAGTAAGGTTAATGTTGTATCGAGGGTGGTTTTCACGTCATCGTGGTACATCTTCAACATGCTACTTCATATTGTTGATCAATCTCTAATATGCCATGTATATTCTTTCACATGATATAATTTCATATCTATAACGTACCGTAATGAATAAAGATGGTAACTATTGGGGAAAAATATTAGATTAAACTACATGAATTGACAATCATTTTCTTTTATGATTAAGATTGATTGTGTGTGTAATGTAAGAAAACTCTCATGCTGTCCTACATGAAATACAAAATAAATAGACTCCATTTACTTCTAAATATCGCTATTAGTTTTTATATTTGTTATTCATTTCTATATTTTTTTTATCTACACTAAAAAGTTACATATTATAAATGACAACAACACATCAAAATATATAATAACCAAACTCTCCCGGCCAAGGGCCGGGCCCAGTGCTAATATGCTTGAAAGATAAGAGAGATTCAAGATCTTTATCCTACCAACATTGACAGATTTGTTTTCCTTTTTCACTGTTCATGTTGGGTATATTAAAAAAAAGTAATTGAATGCTCGTTTTCTTATATTATGCTCAAATAGATATAAACACACTTCAAGATTCCTAGTCTCTTAGTTCGCGCTTTTGAGGTGGTAAAATCTAATCATATTTAAATTTTATCTATATATTCAATAATTTTGTTGTAATTAAATAATTCAAAAAATTATTTGGTTAGTATATCTGCATAAACTTTATATAGCAAAATCAAAATTTTCAAGTATCACATTTTATTAAACTATTATATAATAAATAACTTGCTTCACACCACCTTTATGTAATGCAAATTGATGAGGTGTGAATATTGTAGCTAATAGTAAAGTAATTAAGTTATGGAAAGTATCAAAATTGACTAAATTTTTGTATAAAAAGAACTAACCTCACGAAACATGCAAAAAAGAATCGAGCTTACAGAACCTTTGTGTAATGCTAATTAATAAAATGATTAACAATTTAGTTGATGATAAAGAAAGTTTTGTTCAAACTGATATTACGAAAATTTACCTAATATGTTTAGTTGATCCATAGGAATTAACTATGCCTTCATAAGCTTTACATATTATCTTATTTATTACGAAATACCCGCGTAATATGTTTTCTAATTGATACATAAGAAACAACTATCCATCCATAAGCTTTATGTAACATATTTATAATTTATGTATGTATTTTAAATACATAACCTTTTGTAATGTGGAATGAATTTTTAAGAAATAAAAATATCTGGACAACTGACTAGGGGGAGACTTCTGTTAAGATTGGGTGTAGGGGAAAAAACCTAGACAATTGATTATAGGGGTGGGCATCCGGTTCGGTAAACCTAAACCAAACCAGACCAAAACTGAACTAGACCGAACCGAAATCGAAATATCATTATTCAGTTCAGAATTCGGAAGGCAAAACCCAGTATTTCGGAAACCAGGATCTGCTCAACCGAATCCAATTTTCGATTTCCAAACCGACCAACCGAACCTACACAATCCAAGCCCAAACCCCAAGCCCACAACCCACAACCCCAAGCCCGCTAATCTATTTTCACATTTCTCTATCTGAAACCCTAGCCCAACCCAAATTACCCAAACCTAACAACAATCGCCAGTTGAGAGTGAAGGCTTGGCATCGAGAGAGGAGAAGTGGAGAATGGCGGCGGAGTTCGAGTACCCACCGGTGATTGCAACAATAGCTGGCGGAGTTGGAGTCCCCATCGGCAGAGTTCAAGATCTGCCAGCTTCGACGCCACCGCCCCTAAACAACCAAGATCTGCTCGACGCCATCTCCCTCAAACCAAGATTTGGTCGATGCTTCCCTTCAAGGCTTCAACCAAATACAAAAAGAAGTGCGAAATTGATGAGATACGTAGAGGCGAAGGAGAAAACAAACCAAAAGTTCCATGCGTACTTGGATATTAAGCCTTACTAACCTCTAACCTTCATCGTCGGAGTCGTCACAATCATCAACGTCAATCGCCGTCGTCGCTGGGTTGTTCTCTCCTTCAATCGCCATCGCCGCCGGCCCTAAGTTGTTCACTCCGTCCCGTTGCCGCGGAATCCATATACGGTGAAGGTGAAATCCAACGATTAATAACACAGTTCAATATTTTATGTTTGAATTTTGATGGATTACACATTCACTTATAGAACAACGATTAATAACACGGTTCACACCTCTCCAAATAAAGTTCCAACGAGAGTGTTTGATGTTTTTATGAGTGAGAAATTTGAGTTAAATTACTATACACTTATCTTATTGAGGTTCAGTGAGAATGTCATAAACTAAATGCTACAACTATTGCTACATTGCAGAAAAAGGATAAAATTTGGCATTGGGTGTTTAGTGTTGGTTTGGGACCCTTTCTCCAGTCTTTGTTACTCTTATTTTATAGTAAATAAGTGTAATTGTCCTGGTAACTGTCATAAACCACACTCTAACACTCTCTAACACACTCTAACATGCCTCCTAGCCAACTCACGGGCTTGAAGTTTGCACAGGCCCACCTTGTGCTTTAATCAACTGTTAATATTGGGGGTGGTGGAGATTCGAACACACGACCACTTAGTCAAACCAACTCTGATACCATATCATAAACCAGTTGGTCCCAATAACTCGAGTTGTTGGGAGAAGGTTATGTTGTATCTTATATCACACTCTAACAGTAACTTCTAGCTGTCTGGTTGCTCCAATTGCCTCATGGACCCCTTCATGTCGTCTTGGTGACAATTGCTATAAGTTTGATAGCCTCGTCGTAGGGCCGGACTAGTTTTGAGTTGAGATTCACCAATTCTTGTTGCCTTGTACTAGCTGGATAGGGTTGAAACCTCATCTTCTTAGCATCCATTACGAAGTCTTGATCACACCCCTATCAACCTTAATCACTCAATAATTAAATAATAATTCTTTGTTGCTCTCATCTTGCTAAACACCTCAACACACCATTTTTTTTATTAGGGACCGCTACCAACTTGATGATATGAGATAGTATCTTCCATGCCGACTTGGCACCATCGTCATCTCGTCAGCCTAGCTCTCCTCACATGTTTGCTATCCCCCGTCTTGCTAGCCACCTCGATGAACCGTCTTATTCGCTAGGCCTTGTTACCAACCTTGACGGAAAGAAAACTTAACCCATTTTCCCACCAAGACTCCACACTTAGTCTTGAGGAGCTCGACATGATGCCAACTTGTCATATCGACATCAAGCTCGTCTTGTCGGCTTGATACACTACCACCTTGTCGACAAAATGGTCTTACCAACTTGTTGGCAAGTCCATCTCGTCCACTTGGTACCCCATCGGCTTTCCACCACGCGCGTCCAACCAACTTAGTCTTCATACGGGCCCCTAAGGGACTCGACACCAAGTCCTCGTCAAGTTGATAGTTGATACCCTATCAGCTCGGTACCCTATCAAGGTGACACTAAACCTGTCTTTGTATTTTGTCAACTAGTTTGTCTCATCAGCTCGAGGCCTTTCGTCTTGCCGCCAAGCCCATCTCATCAGCTTGTTAGCAAGTCCATCTCGTCGACTTGGTACCTTGACTGACAAGTTTCCACCCCCTGAGGTTCCATACTTAGTCTTTTGAAGTTAGGGATTGTCGCTTAACCCCCTACCCGATGAGCTAGTAAATAAATCTGTGTAAGCAACTTGACACCTTGTCACCCTGCCGATTTGGTACTCCATCATCAGGATTTCAAACTTAATTTTTTTTTGCCAAATTTCATACCCACTAGCTTGTAATCCGTTTTGATACGTGACCTATTACTGGTCAACCACTTATTTAATAAGAGGTGACCGCCAACCATTAAGGCCAGAGAGGGGCTATTGGCCAGTTAGGACGACAAAAGAGAGCTTAGCTACTTAAGCTGAAAAACTCAAACCAATAAGACCCAACTATCTCATTTAATCTTTATTTATAAAGTCAACCTTATACCACAACTAATTCATCAAACTTAATCAATGTGATAAAATTAAGTTTTAGGATAAATAAATCTACAGACATCCTAAATTAATAAAACATTGATCATTGGAACCAAGATATTCTTTGCATCACTCGCACAAAACATACAAGCAAGACATAAGGGCACCTATATTGAAACAACCTAGCTCGTATCTTAACTCTTAAGGGATAAAGTGTTCAACCCACGCTTAAACATCCTAACCAACGTAATTAACCATAACCAAAAGCTCCATCTTGGTAAAATACCTCGGTTACCACTAAATTATGAAAATTGGGGGAGCTATACCACTTAAATAAGAATAGGGCATCACGTACCACTGAACTCGATTATATATGCACCTAGTACCACTTAAGTTTACTGTTAAGTGCATTTCGTTAAAGTTAACAGAATATTCTTGGAATATTCTATTTTCTAAATTTCAGAATTGGTCCTTCTAGTAGGAAATTTAGAATCAATTATCATTATAAGTATTTTTAATTATCATTATGCGTTCTAATAATTGAATTATTCCCTGAAGCAAATTTATCCTATGAATTCTGTCTCGATATAAATAATCTAAGGATGTTATATTTAGTTCTCTTACATCATGATGATATTGTCTAATTATCTATGTTAAATCTCCTTGTAATTTTCTAATATTATATTTTAGATGCTCTTCCTATAGTCATATTATTTTACTAATTTATCTATTTTATCGATAAATTTTCATTAGTCATTCTAGTAATACTATGTTTATAAGGTTTTCTCATTTTTATATTCTCATTTTTATATCAATTAATACTTATTGAAATATAGTTTTAGATGTTTTAAAAGGTTTTGGGTACCAAAAGGTAATTAATTTTTTTGGGTTAGATGGAAACTAGACGGATGCATATTTTGGCGACTTTAATGGTACCCGAATTCATATTTAAAGTTAAGTTATATGTCTACCCCAATTATCAAATTTAAATGGTACCCGAGATATTTTACCCGCTTTATATTATTGGGGTTCACCCCAGTTAAACCCTAACAGCTCATGATCGGGATACAGCTCATGATCGGGATAGGTGTATTATGGATATTAGGTTAATATGGATTCACGCTCAAAAGTAGGCTTGGCAATTATACTCATACCCATGGGTTTATAACTATCCAACCCATTTGGGTTGGGTCTGAAATCCAATTAAAGTGTAAATGGATAAAGTTAGATGGGTCAATACCCATACCCATTATGTTGGGTTTAATTGGGTTTTACCCATGAACTTGGGTTAAAAAATCCAAACCCAAATAATTAAAAAAAGAAAAACGAAACTAAAAAGAAAAATAAGATTAATCAGAAGAGCTTGCTAGCAAACTCATCCAACGGCGTGCCTTCATCCCTACTATTAGCACACTTTCCAGCCAGCTCCCGGACCTCCGCCGGACTCCTTCCGAGCGCCAGCCCGACCTTCATCGCGAACACCTCACCATTTTTTCTCTCCTCAAATCCCGATTCGCCGAGAGTGGAATCGATCGATTCCTCGAGCTGATCGAAAAACCCGGCGCAGTTCCTGTACATCTCCACCACCATCCCGATCTGCCCGCCGTGCTCCACTGCCACTAGCTCCGACGTCGCCGCCGCCCAGTGCTACCAAGCTTCGACGTCGCCGCCGCTATAGCTGATTCCGTTGACTCCCGCTGTAGCCGCTCCACCGTTCGCCTTGGTGAGCTTAGCAGCAGCTGTTTCGTCCACCACATCAAACAAGCGGACTAAGGCAAACACAGCGGGAAGGTAAATTCAGTTGAACCCAATTGCTTGTTTTGTTCTCCGGTGGGTTCATTTTTATCCAAACGAACTGATTGATTCTACCCAGAAGTTAAGAACAAGAGAAACTGAGAAACGTATGCATTTCTGTTCCAATTAAATGAGTCAACCCCTTAACCAACCATGGCGTCTCCTCCGATAACATCGTTTACCATCAGCTCGACGTGACAGACAGCTCCAGCATCTCTTCTCTTGCCGATTTCATCAAAACCCAGTTTGGGAAACTTGACATCCTGGTTGGTACTACCCCCAATTTGACCAGTTCCGTAACAACTCCTTTGGACGCCACCAATCCCAACTATCCCGGCGACTCCAATCGGCACACGCTGCAGGAGAGCCTTCCCAGCCTTCTCCGCCACGGCATCCGCGAACAGCACCACCACCCACTGCTTAAACTCCTCCGCTCCCAGCGTCATCGGCTCTTCCTCCGGCGCCTCCGCCTCCTGTTGGGCCGGGTTCTTAGGGGCTCGTCGGAGGGTTTCTACGACCTTCAGAGCTGAATCCACTTGGGCCTGGATCGGCGGCGTGGGGACCCAATTGACGATGAGTGGAATTTTGTTAGTGGTGGTGAGGATGGAGTGGATTTGATCGGAGGCAGTCGGGAGTTGGTAGGGAAGGACGCCTGGGAAGCCGATTCGCAGGTGGCGGTGAACGCCGATGAGCTGCTGAGAGTGGTTTCCGCCTGCTTCGATTAGCCTCTGCTTTCAGCGGATGAAAACAGAGGAATTGCCGCCGGAATCGGGTTCGTCGGCGGAAAGGCGGCCTGATAGCGGGTAGTACGAGGACAGAGCAAGGGAGAAGCTCCACGACGAGGGGAAGCTCGGGGACTTGGCCGAGCTCAAGGACACGGAATCGGCGCCGGCATTCGGCACCGGCGAAGCAGCTGGACTTGGCCAAAGTTACATTTTAGTACCTGAAGTTTTTAAGAAGATACAAATAGGTTCAACATCATATGTGGAAAATTATATTTTAGTACATTAAAATTTTTGCTTTACATTTTAACACCTAATAAAAAAAATATATACAGGTGGGTCCAAGGAGATGGGTACCCAAGCCCAATCCATACCCAAAAATAAAATCCAAACCCAACTCCACCTACCCAAACATTATCCAAATCCATATAGAATAAATCCATACCCAACCCATATAAATGGATATAAATGGGTTTGGGCAAAAATAGGGATGAGATACCGTGACAACCCCATTAGGGGTTGTGAGATTGACAACCCATTTTATAACCATAGGATTCATTCTCTCTCTTGTCTCTTTCTTCTTTTTTTCAAATCAATAGTACATATTGGATTAAGGGTATTTTTGGACGAAAAAATTGACCACACTAGATTATTACCCTAATTAATACCTAAAACCATACACTCTCTCTTTCCTCTTCCTCTCTCTCTCTCTCTCTCTCTCTCACGCCATATTTCTTCTTCCTCCCATCTATTCCCTCTCTCTATCGACTGCCACCACTGCCGTCGTCGCAGCCCTCCTGTCGATCGGCCGCGCCCTTCGCCTCTCGTCACTGCCGCAGCCCTCCCGTCGTCGCGCCCTCCGCCTCCCAGCACCGTCAGGTCCCTCCCACCGCAGCCATCGCGGCCTCCTCCTCCCACCATCGCCGCGCCATCACCCTCTCCCCGTCGCAACCTTCCCGCCGCCCTCTGTCTCCCATCACCACCGTCGCCACGAGGGTCACCGCCTCTCCCCTGCCTCCCCCTTTCCTCATCCCTGATTTTTTTTTATTCCAGATCTGTGATTTTTCATATTTCAGATCTGATTTTTTTGCGTTAGTCTCTAGTGGTACGCTACCAGTGGCACTGGTACCGCTACGAGTGGTACTGGTACTGGTACTGCTAATGGTACCCCTATCAGTGGTACTGGTACTGCTAATGGTACCGCTACAAGTGGTAATGGTACCGTACCACTAGCCCTGATAGCGTACCACTAGTACTAGTAGCGTACCACTACTGCTGATAGCGCTACCAGTGAGTAGTGGTATCATACCAATACCAGTGGTAGCGTACCACTAGTCGAAAATCACTACCACTAGCGCACTGCCGAAGTGGTACTTTTTTGCAGGTGGCCGGAGTGAGTCTGATCGGAGGATTTCACCGGGAAAAAGTCTGCCGGTCGGAGAAAGTTTGGCGGTCAAAGCGGAGAGGCTGCTGGAAAAAAAAAGAGATAGAGAAAGATACAAGTGTATTAATTGTAGGGTTTAATTTTTTTTTTAAAAAAGGCATGTATTTAATATGAGTTTTGAATTCTCAATCTGTAATTAATACAAAATAATTAATCAATAAATTCATTTTTTTTCATACCCAAAATACCCTTGGTTGTCAATCTGACAACCCCTTAGGGGTTGTCACCGTATCCCGTCCCGGCAAAAATACCCATGGTTGGGTAAGGGGTCGTTTGGAAGTTGCGATTGTTAAATAGATGTATTGTTGAGAATGCATGTATACTATTATACATGTATTGTCGAATTTGATGCATTATAGAATACAACGTTTGGTATGTGTAATTGTGTATGTCGCATCAGCTAAAAGCTGAGACAAAACAATCTCAACTCAACTATCTCAACAATCACAACTAAAAGTTGAGATATAACAATCACTCAAAATGAGTGATAGTTTCTGTCACATCACAGAAACAATCCATGTATTGTTTCTGCTAAAAAAACAAAAAAACGATGCATTGTAAACAATACATGCATAATGACAATCTCAACAAAACAATCGCAACTTCCAAACGACCCCTAAATTGCCATCCCTACTCAAAAGTACTGTCAATACTATTACTCATTATTTTACCATAGCAACTTTAACCATAAATAAATCCTACCAATTTATTGTCAATGAGTTTTTTTACAGGTATTCATTGTTAAAATTTTCGAGGTCAAAGAGTATCTTTATACCTCTTCAGGAATTCAATCCACCGGTTATATATCGATACTTCGACTGTTCAAATAATTATCTCAATATTGGTGATTATAATCTTACAAATTACGAGAAAGAGAGTGAATATTAAAAAAAATATTGAGCACTAACGTGAAGAGTAAGATAAAGAGAATAATGATCCATATTAATTTAAAATTTAATAATAAAAACATGAATTAAAAATTGAGAAAAGTACATACTTGATCATATAAATTGATTGCTAATGTTCTAGAAGAGACTAATCAAATGGAGCCTATAAAATTATTTTGAAGTTTAGAAAACACTACTCCATGACCATTTATTGCACCAAGCATAACCAATGATATACACTCATTTTACATATTGATTTTGATCCATGATTCTAAAGTTGTGTTTATGTTATTATATGCTTTTTAAACACGGATTCACAAACACTATTAGACCGTCAATAGATTACAGATTCACAAACACGGTGATAAATCAAAACTTGTAATACGGGGAAATTACCGATTGTTGTTGTTGTGGTCAATTCTCAATTCCCCAAAAAAACAAACAAAAGCAGAACATTTAATTTGAGGACAGAGCCAAAACAGCCTTCAGAGGTACGTGTCATGAGACCTTGAATGCGTTGGCAGACGGAGAGCCCGCGAGCTCACAGTAGTGACCCTGCTCCCTCCAGCACTTGAATTAGCGGATTGAACCGGTTGGTTTTTTCTGAATAGGCCAGTCTGTCGTCTTCCCTTGTTGCTGGCTTGCTGCTGCTACACAACCGTTCTCTCCCCGTTTCGGCCACACACAAAATCACAAACTTTGCTCTCCCCTGAAGGAATTCCGATCCCCCTTCTCCCTCTATCCAGTTTTTCTATTAAAAGTTCGGTCCTTTTTGTGATACATGGGATGGCGAAGCCAGATATAGTCATATAAATATGCTTTATCTGGTGCTATTGGATACTGCTGCCTGGTTAATTGGGGCGTGAATCCAGTTTTTGGATTCTCGTCTTCCGGGGGGAAGAAAAGAAGAAGAAATTCTATTTTTCTTCTTCTGATTGTCTCTCCCCCTTCTGCAGGTATGCTATTTTCTGGATTCTCTTTGATATCGTGTTTGCCCTATTGGGTCGCACTAAATTCTGTTTGTTTTTGGGGAAAAATGGGGAGAAACTTGTTGCATAAGTTTTTGTTGTTGTTGTTCGCATGTTGTGATGCGCTTCTTTTCTGATTGGCGGATGATAGAATTTGTTTTGGATGCTAACAACATTTGGTTTATGATAGAATTTGTTTCTTAATGGTTTGGCGGTGGAATGTGTTTGATTGGTTGCGATTTGTTTTTGGTGGTCAAATGTTTATTGAACTTTTCGACAATGTAAATCAAGAATATCGGGCCGTGATTGAATCTTTGATCCAGGGACTGGATTCTGAGGTTCTGTGCGGTTCATGCAAATCTGAGGGGAGAGACCTGCTGATTGATATGGAGCTTTGATTCTGCTGCTGGTTCTGAGATCGTGAAAGTTTGGACTACTTGGGCGTTCTCTAGGTACCACTGAAAATCATTTGGCCTTCTTTGCGGAAGGCTAATTCGCGTAGATGACGAGTTATTTAGGTGTTCAAGTCTCTGATCCAACGCTGCAGAATCAGTTCACTCAGGTGGAGCTTCGTAGCCTCAAATCTAAAGTAAGTCCCTTTTTGTTATCCTCAGTGTTTATCTGTTTGAATGCCGGCGTTTTGTCCGCTGGAATCATCCTCCGATGGAAAAATGTCATTTCAAGTTCTTTTGATCCAGCTTGACTTTTAATGTTATTGATGTTTGTTCCTCCCCCTCCCTTAATTCAGTTTACCGCAGTAAAGAACGAGAAAGGTAAAGTTACAATTGGAGATTTGCCATCTTTGCTGGTGACATTAAAAGCCTTTGCTTCAACATTCAAGGAGGAAGAGGTTGCAGGCCTCTTAGCTCAATCCTTTCCTGACTTGACTGTCGATATAGACTTTGAAGGGTTTCTCAGGGTGAGCTGCTCTCATTTTCATAACCTTGCCTTCCCTTTTATACTTGCTTTTGTGAACCAACTTATTATCGTCTGAAGTCTCATAATGTCCATTTGAACCACCCTATTTGGCATTTGAATTTCAATAAATAGGAACTGAACAGTGTGATTGGTATATTGTAGTTTGTTTCCAAGGAAAAGGATATACTCTTTCTTTGCTTACGAACTCGGAATGTGACAGGTGTACTTGAATTTGCAAGGTCAAGCTAATGCTAAATCAGGGCATTCAAAAACAGCCTCAGCATTCCTCAAGGCATCAATAACCACTCTGCTTCACACTATTAGCCATTCTGAGCGAGCATTATATGTAGCTCACATAAACAGTTACCTTGAGGATGACCCATTTCTGAAGCAGTTTCTTCCCTTGGATCCAGCGACAAATGATTTATTTGATCTTGCGAAGGATGGAGTTCTTCTATGGTTAGTTGATTTGGCAATTTCATTGGTACTTTTGTTGCTGTATTACCTTGAACTTAATCATCGTCTTCATTTTGGTTTTTGTTCAGTAAGCTTATCAATGTTGCTGTTCCTGGGACTATTGATGAGCGGGCAATCAATTGTAAAAAGATTCTTAACTTGTGGGAGAGGAATGAGAACCACACCCTTTGCCTCAACTCTGCAAAGGCTATCGGTTGCACAGTGGTTAACATTGGTACACAGGACTTGGTGGAAGCAAGAGTAGGTTTAATCTACCTATAGGTTTTTATGCTATAAACTAGGTCTGATTTGTGGTAATCAGAAGATTTGTTGCTAACATAATTCCAATGATTTTGCAGCCTCATCTTGTGCTTGGTCTAATTTCTCAGATTATAAAGGTTAGACTTCGGCTTTTTTCTTCATTGCAAATTTGCATATCGCGAGTTATAACTTATAAGGCTATGGGGTAGCTGGCAGGTGTTAGAAATTAATCATTTAAAACATTACTCTAAATTACTTTGCATATTTTCTCGATTTGGGTGTTAATGTCTATGGACTTAAATTCTTCACTCTGGTGTTCTCAGATTCAATTGTTAGCAGATCTCAACCTCAAGAAGACACCTCAGCTTGTGGAATTGGTGGAGGACAACACTGTAATGAAATACATAATTGAGGACCGTTAATTTTTTTCTCCCCATTTGCATTGTTCAGCAAATCAATCTGAAAAATTGTCCACTGAAAAATTTATCTCTCAGGATATAGAAGAGCTCATGAGCTTGGCCCCTGAAAAGCTCTTATTGAAATGGATGAATTTCCATCTGGGCAAAGCAGGCTATGAAAAACGTGTTTCAAACTTCTCTTCCGACTTGAAGGTACTAGCAATATCATTTTATATCTATTCTCTAGCAACAAATATGCACAGGTGACATGACTCCTTTTCTTCGTTTTTGGGAAAAATGCCTCAATTGTTCTGTTAGTCATGCTCTAGGAGATGCATTGAAACTCTTAGAACTTTAGGCACATGTATTAGTTGATGCCTGATTGTCTCTTCAGTACCAAAAAGTAGTCTTTTTCTATGAATACTACATCCTCCAAATACTGAGTACCCCAATTGTCTGCTGACATTGAATCTTGCCATTCTCTGAAAATTATGCTTGTGGTGATTTTTTCATGGCCGAACTTGTAGGATGGAAGGGCTTATGCCTACCTTCTTAATGTTCTTGCACCAGAGCACTGCAATCCAGCTACATTGGACGCTAAGACTGCGCTTGAGAGGGCTACACTAGTACTTGATCATGCTGAGAAAATGGGCTGCAAACGGTATTTGAAACCAACTGATATTGTTGAAGGCTCATCAAATCTGAATCTTGCCTTTGTAGCACAAATATTTCATCGAAGGTGAGGGACACTGACTCTAAGGGCCTTACTTTCTGAACTGTTGGGTATATGTTACTATTACGCTGAGCATGTATACTTTTGTAAGAAATTAAGTGAGGTGGGCTCATTCATATGAATGCGTTGTAGAGATATATACACCATCTACATTGCATCAGTGGTGGTGTTTTAGAGTAAATGTAGAGATATATACACCATCTACATTGCATCAGTGGTGGTGTTTTAGAGTAAATGTATCAGCATAGTTACTGTAGTCTGTGTACCAATGCTTTCTAGAGACTTTGTGTTCCCTAATCATGTGGTAGTTGGAAAAGGGACCTGTTGGCTGTGGTCCAATGTGTTTAAAAATGCTGCTTTAGCTCTTGGTAATTGCTCCATGCAGGCAAATGCACACATTCACACAAACAAGTGGTGGTTCCATAGTCGGAATTGATAGTAGCTACAATTAAGTTTTGATGCATTTATGCTGAAAATATCCCTCAACCCAACTGACCTGGTTGATTAGGGTCACGGCATTTTAATCATTTAAGCATTTTTGTTATTCTGAGTCATCATGAAATATTTATGCTATCTTCTTCTTGATAACTTTGTAGGAGTACCATAGTCTATGCTCTTTATGGTTTCATGTTCATGCCATTTTTTTCCTTTGGTCAAAAAGCTTTTCTGATCGTGCTATTTCCTTCCCCCCAAAAATTATGATTGAAATGAAATTTGCATCTTACTATTGCAGGAGTGGCCTGAGTACAGATGGCAAAAAGTATGCTTTTGCAGAGATGATGACAGATGATGTGCAAACATCCAGAGAAGAGAGATGCTTTAGATTGTGGATCAATAGTCTTGGAGCTACCTATTGTAACAACGTGTTTGAGGATGTTAGGAATGGGTAAATTTCCCCTCTCTTGTTCAATCTACTGGTGTTCACATGGTACAATTTGCAGATGTTCAGTCTCTTTTTGTTACCTTTTGAGGCAATGTTTCTATAGTACGGATTCCATTTTGGTGTATTGGTATCTTTTTAAGTTTCAACTTATGTTTTTTCTTTTCTTGGAACAGTTTTTGCATTTTGGTTTGGCGGTAACTTGGATTCTGGAACATTATGCTTGCAGGTGGATACTTCTTGAAGTACTTGACAAGATTAAACCCGGATCAGTTAACTGGAAGCATGCCACAAAACCTCCCATCAAAATGCCATTCAGGAAAGTGGAGAATTGCAATCAGGTCATAAAGATTGGGAGGCAGTTGAAGTTTTCACTTGTTAATCTAGCTGGCAATGATTTTGTGCAAGGAAATAAGAAACTCATACTCGGTAAATGTCCATGGTCTCTTCACTTTTCATGCTCTCCCTGAGTTTAGTACCTATGATTAATGTCGCACTGAATCTGAAGATTCTTAGTTCTTTTTCAGCTTTCTTATGGCAATTGATGAGATATTCCATGCTTCAACTTTTGAAGAACTTGAGATCACACTCTCAAGGGAAGGAAGTAACTGATACAGATATCTTGCATTGGGTGAATAAAAAAGTTCGAAGTATGGGGAGAACTTCCCGGATTGAAAATTTCAAGGTTAATAAAATAAAAGTTATCCACTTTTTACCCCCGTCATCAGTTGACATATGTTAGCTGACGTGTGCTGACTTTATAAAAATATGGAAATTATTGCCAGGATAAGAGCATATCAAATGGGATATTCTTCCTTGAGCTTCTCAGTTCTGTGGAACCCAGAGTTGTAAACTGGAACCTTGTCACGAAGGGCGAAAGTGGTAATCACTAATGACCATTTTTCCCAGCTATTCTGCATTGTGAATGCATGTATTCTGCATTTTTAGTAGTAGGACATTGACAGCTTTGGTTATCATCATCTTCTTTCCCCACTTCAATACAACAGATGACGAAAAGAGACTGAATGCTACATACATTATCAGCGTGGCCAGGAAACTTGGCTGTTCCATTTTCGTGTTGCCAGAAGACATTATGGAGGTAACACTGCTTTCTTTTGTATAGAACTGTTATTACTGAGGGAAATCTCTTGTTAGGGGTGGAATTAAGGTCAGCCAAACTTATCTCCGAGTTTGGTTGCAGGTGAACCAGAAGATGATTCTGACGCTAGCGGCGAGCATTATGTACTGGAGCCTCCAAAAAGCAGTGGAAGAAGGGGAGTCGCTGTCCCCGGCACCTTCCAGTTGCAACACATGCAACGCTACACCTGATGCATCCCCGGCCCCTTCAGTTTGTGGTGAAGATGAAAGCTCTTCCATCGCCGGTGATGTATCAAGCTTGACCATCGACGATGCCGCGTCAGACACCACAGTTTCCTCGTCGCCTTTTGACAATGAGGAAGTCACCTCTGCAGGAGGCGAGTGATCCCAACCAGAAAAACAAAAATATGTAAAAAGAAAAGAATCTCAAACTGAAGTCAAAACGGGTTTTGTGATATACAAGGCAATATACATGTGCAGTAGAAAGAAAAAGTGTTGAAAGTCCATGATATCATCCCTTCAGTCAGAATCACAAAAGGGAAAAAATGAACAGGGAGGGAAACATGGGGATGAAGAAAAAGGGGTAATACGATTTTGTAGTTGCATTTCAACTCGTGAAAGAATATGACAGAACAAGTTTGGCTTCTTTTCATTTGCAGAGTAGGATTGTAACATGCATCATTCTTTGGACATGATTGAACTTGTCGTCAGCACCTTAATAAACTCGGAATTCTCCGGTTTCTTCGCTTACAAGAAACAACAATGGAATGAAGGATACCAAAGAGAGAGTCAGTCACATGACTCAAACTTGGAACGTTGCGATTGTTCAACCCTTGCACATTCTATCCCTGCTTCGATCAAGGTTTCTCGTTGTGTTGGATCTTCAAAGTGTCGATGTAAGCCTTGCCGTCAAGCTGGCGGGAAAAGAGGCCATTGTAGAACTCTCTGATTGTCACCACCTTGAAAAGAGCCGGTGTCTCTTTTGTGATCAAGCTAGCAGCAGGCCCGGTTTCACCATCATACCTTGGAGAATGGAAGCAGGCAATCGAGAGCCTTTCCTTATCCGAATTCACCAGTGCACGGTGCTCGATGCTACGGTATGCTCCATTGGTTATGATCTGCTTACACAACCAGAAATTGTTCAGCACATACAGAAGTAAAGAACTTCCCATTGTATGCACAGCTTTTAGTATTTGAGTTCCTTCACCTCTAGAATGTCACCAACATTGACCACGAAAGCATTGGGAATTGCCTTGACAGGAACCCATCTTCCATCTTTCTTTATCTGCAGACCATCCACTTGACCTACTTGCAGAAGGACGGTGAGACCAGTGCCATCCGAATGAGGAGTCAGCCCCATAACTCTCTCTGGCTGGGGCATGGAGGGTAGTAGTTCATCCTCATCGTCTGCCTCACGTTCTCGTAAAAATCCTTCATTTCCTCGTCCCCTTCGATCTTCAAAGCCTTTCCAACATGTTTCAGGATGGTGGAGGCCAGATTCTTCACCTCCAACGAGTACTGCTCTACAGTATCCCTACACACAAGAAAATCACTCGAACGAGGCTTAAAGTTGAATCGTTTTATCCGCGAGTTTGAAATCTATGCAAACCTGAAAGGAAGAGGGAGGTTAGGGAGCAAGTGAGGCTTCCTCAGATAGGGTGGCTGGGTGACCAAGTAGAAAATGTCACTCCAGTCCAGCTTTTGTTCCTCGGAGACCACAAACGTCTGTCCAAACCCTTCAACCTCTCCTGGAAACTGCCACAGCTTCTTCTTCTCCTCCATTGGCAGATTGAAGAATTCCTGAACCTGTGCCTTCATCTCCTCCAACAGACCACTGCTTATCCCATGATTTACCAACTGCACGAGCTCATTCAATGTTAAGCAGAAATGGGCTTCATTGTTATAACGTAATGGAGGGTTAGAAGGTATGCATACGGATAACAGATTCAAGGCATTCCAACATTCGGAGTAATAACATGCATACTGGTGGTGATCATATTCATACCTGGAAAAAGCCCCAATCTTTGCAGGCGGAGTGGAGCTTGGCGAGTTCAGAATCCATGGACTCTGGATCGAGCAAGCTCTGGAGGTCAATAACTGGAAGCTGAGGCTGCTGCTGATGGAGTGAAGCAACATCCTGATCATCAAGACGAGCATATCGGGGTGGAACAGTGGCCAAACCCTGTTGCTTCACCAATTCCTGAACGCTAGGGACAAGTAGGGAGCTGCCAATGCTCATTCCAGCAGCAGGTAATTCTGATTCTGAAGCCATGGACTTCTTTGTTTCCTTTTCTATCTAGTTTGATAATGGTGAATGTATTCCATCGCCATTATATAAAAAAAAATAAAAAAAAATAAAAGAGATAATGGTGGATATACTGTGTCGGACGGTGCATCCAAACCCTCAAAGAGTACTCTGTCAAGTTGAGAATACATCAAAGTTGGAATTCCTGACATCTGCTAGCTGATACATTTGCTTCTAAGAGAGGCCACACACGTGTTAGAGCCATGACATCGTGTGCGACAGATTTCTATTTATTATTGTTGTCGAAGTTATAAAAAAAAAAACTGACAAATGTGGATAAAATTTCGTTTGGAACCCGTACAACAAGAAAGGGCGCGTTATCTTTAATCTTAATCTTAATTTATGAAAGCATTTTCAGTTCTTAACTCATGCATGTCAACACATACGTCCATTATACACAACGTAAATTGGCCTTTGCAATTTATTTATGGTTTTGGCTATAGTATCATGTCTCAAAGTTTAGTTAATTAATGATCTAAATAACCTTAGCCTATAGTATCATGTCAAAATATTTTCTTTTGATCATTTGGAAGAAGTGTATTCTATAGATATATCTATATAAGATAACTTCGGGAATTCCCATGCATATTTAATTAAATTAGGCATCCAATCAAATGGATGGATTTTATTCCGGCACAGGACAACCCACCCAGTATCGACCTGGCAAAGAACAAGCTGCAAGCGAACCCAAATCAATGCTTTCGTAGACCGTTTTCCACACACATCAGATTCTCAAGGTATCGAGGTATGCCTTCCCCTGAATCTCACGAGAGAAGAATCCCCTAAAGAACTCCTTAACGCTCACATTCCTGAACAAGGCCGGCCTGTCTCCAGTCACCAAGCTCGGCGCAGGGTAGATCTCCCCATCGAACCTAGGAGAATGGAAGCAAGCAATCGACAGCCTCTCCTTCTCCGAGTTCACCGTCGCCCGATGCTCGATGCTCCGGTACACTCCATTGGTTATCATCTCGAGAATGTCCACCGACGTTGACCACAAAATCATTGGGAAGGACCTTGACTGCCACCCATTGCCCGTCTTTCTTGATCTGCAAGCCTTCAACCTCATTCACCTGCAAGAGGATGGTGAGGCCAGTGCCGTCGGAGTGAGGTGTGAAGCCGATGACTTTGTCAGGCTCCGGGCACGGAGGGTAGTAGTTCGTCCGCATTGTCTGCCTTACGTTCCCCGAGAATATGTCCTTCATTTCCTCTGGTTTCATCTGCAGGGCTTTTGCCATATGGTCCAGTACTTGTGCTGCAAGGTTCCTTACCTCGAGCGAGTAGTTCTCCAATGTGTCTCTGTAGAAAGAACCGAAGAATATAGGACACCGATATGTGAGTACTCTAACTCTGAATCACTCGCAAGAAAAAGGGCGAAGGGAACTGATGTATAAGACCTGAACGGAAGGGGCAGCTTTGGGAGCAAGTGCGGCTTTCTGAG